TCCAATAACAGCAGGAACAATGTAAAGAAGTGCAGGCTGAAAACAAGAAAACAGACAAAGATCAGGTCATCAACTCCTTGATGTATATATATATATATAGTTCGAGGAAGCCGCTAAAATGTTAAAATTTAATGCAAACTTCACCTGGGCAGCTTGAAACCAATTCATGACCACTATTGTGAGGACCAAACCAACTGTGTATCCCATAAAAGCACTCTTAAAATATTGACCGTCTTTTCCCCTGGATGCATCAAATCGTAGAGCCAGTGCAACAAAGATCCCTAGAGGAACAAAAATATTATCAATACTTAGCGAGAGGAGGGGGGGGTTGTTCAATTATGTACACCATCATTAATCTCACTATACTGATCATTATACTTAGTTTTTCTTCAAATACCTCACCTTGGATCAAGATTAGATGACAGAAGTAACGATGGGTATTAGGATTCAAATAAAGTGTGAACTTTCATTAGGAAAAAAACGCCAGAAATATGTCGATCGACATTCAAACTCACCGGGAATGACAATGTCACCAAGTCCAAGCATGGAGAATGGTCGAGCAGCATCTGCAGTGGGAAACAGAAGCTGCAGACAAATTTAGAAAACCATAATTAGACAGTCTGCTCAGCCCAAATCACATTTCACTGTGACGCGAACATCAAGCATTCGAGTTTAGCAAGAGTACAGACCTTTATAGGTGCATCAAACGATTTCGCGACACTAACCATCACTGGAGTAAAGAAAACCCAGAAGATATCGTATACAAACAGTCCAGCCTATGGAGAATTTAGACCAAAAAAAAAAAAACACACAAATTAGTAACGGGAAAAATAAAATTACATGATTGATCAGAATGTGTGCAACGGGACAATTAAATAATTGCACCAATAACAAAGCATTTATTTATCATAACGGCCGATAATATCCAGGGGATTATAGAATACATAGACCAGAACGTATCAGAGAGATAACATGAAACTCGAACAAACTGAATTGCCTCGAAATAGAAGATCATGCATTCATGCCACATCCTAACCGTTGCACTCGAAACAAAGAATAAATCAAGTTGGCATAATCAAATTCCAACACATGCTTGGTCAAAGAGCAGGATGATTATCCAGTAGCATGTTTTATGAAACACCTTAAGTATTCTATACAACAGTAACCCAATTATCATTAACTTTCATTATCAAATCCTTATGTTCCTCTTCTTACCAAAAGTATGGCACCAGTCTTAAAGGAACCAAGAGAAAGCATTTCAATTCCCTGCAAATGGAAAACAGAGAATTAATTACTTCAACGAATGCTCAACCACATATAGTTAATTTTAGAGATACTTAGAGAATGATTATTTGATTTTTGAATTAAACCCAACAAAAATCTTGCCAGTCAGCAAAGAACTTCCAGCCACATAAAGGAATTACAGAAGGAAGTATTGCTCAATCCGATGGCTACAGGGTCGTTTATTTTAAGAGGTCGCTACTGTACCTGGATACAAAAGGCAAGGCCCAAGATATTGTTAGCCAGCCAGTGTTTCTTCAAAGCATACCATGCACAAAAAAAGGTTCCAGGAATTGCTGCAACGACTTGAGACCTGGTGAACTCGATCTCCAAAGCTGTGTAAGAAATGAAAGGAAAAATATCATTCTGCATGATGAAAGGAGATAAGGTCAAGCAGATAAAATCAGCTGAATCTTGAAAGAAGCAGAAGAATCCAAAACAAAAATAAGGTTACAATAGTACAAAATTGAAAAAATCATACGAGTCTCAAATCAACAAAAACCATTGTCCATAACTCAGAATAATTTGGCGTTTAACCAAACCTGGCAAACAAATATAGTCATAAGGGCAACTGTAATGGAAACCATTAATTTCAATTTCCTTAATAGGAGAAGTGGCAAATTAAATTCTTCAAAGCCGACGAAGTGCCCTGAACCACTGATCGACCAACGTTCATTTCAAATAGTTATATACATTATTATAAAAAAAAACTTGGAAATTTGCTCGTTTTTTGCGAAAATACATCAAGCGAAAACAAAATCACATACCACGGAAATATGGAAAAGTCCATACAATAGCATCTTGATTCCAATGGTCTGGCAGATATCGCTTAATAGCAGGCAACAGAGTCGCTCTAGATAGAATGGAAAGAGGATATCATTAATAAAATTATGACTTAGAGCAGCATACTTAATAAGATGTGCTTATGACCAACACATTTGAATACATACGAAAGAGCAAGGATCCCAAGCACAAAAAAGTAGCACGTCAAGACTGCATTGACCAAGTCCTTCGATAGAAACTTGAAAAGCAAGAAAAGAGATAAAAGCATTGCACTCCCAACAAAGGGAAAACGCATGGCGTGCTCACTGGACATCGTCTCCTGCATATTTGAGAATAAGACATTGTAAGCAAATGGAATTGTAACCATGCAAGAAAGGAAGAAAGCGGAAGCAATAAACAACTTGGCGTAACTTCCTCGTTACACTTACTGAAGGTGGAGTGGGTTTCACAGACCGATAGCAACCCACGTAAACAGTTAGACAAGCAGTCAGAACCACATTCACGTTAGGATCAACCTTCATAACAAGTGGAGCTAATGACAATCCTGCACGCAAAAAGATTAAGAGGTTAGGCTTAACCATACACTGGAAATTAAGATATTATGTTCAATTTTCACTAACAACTTTCTAGTAGGTACTGTTGCATTTAGTTCTATTTGATAGAAAACAGGGTACAAATTCATTCATATCAATAGAGATCAATGAATATTCATACAATTTCTAGGGTTACTCAAGTCTTCCAAAGACGATACAAATCCACATCTAATGATTTTTAATGAGAATGAATGTCCTAATATGACGTGATGATTTCAGAATACTTGTAATTCTCATTTTCTGATTTTAATTTTATGCAATTTCCAGACGTCAATTTTCATACCAACTGATAACTGATAATAAGAAAACCACGATAGCTTGCATACATGATTTGTCTATTCTCTTGCACAAACTACAGATACCAATTACCTAAGAGAGACACAGATCTTGCAAAGAAGTCCAAGAAACTACAAATGGAATTCAGTCAAGATTATATAATCTATCTAATTAAGTAATGTTACGAACGCTCATTCGATTGACAATATACCCATTCGCTCGTCATTCATAGAATTTCAGCTGTATTCATAAACAGCTAAACACAAAAGAAACAAAGATCTCCAGATTTACATCGGCGAAAAAGCAGTACAAGAAATTGGTTACCCACCGGCTAAAGCAAAATTCGCAATGCGCTCGGCGTTCTTCATGTTAGGCGATTCTCAATTGAACACTTTCCACCAACACTGTTAATCTTGAAAACTAAGATAATTATGTCGCAGTTGCTCCCTCTGCAATCAAACTCGCACACAAATACATTGATTAAAAAAACAAAAGATCAATTGCACTAACACAATATGAAACATCAAATCATTCTCAAAATGCCGCAATTTCGCAGCGGAATTTAAACTACGTGCGTAATCAAATAGCGATAATTTTTTTTAACAAAATTCGAAATGGAATCAACAAAAAAAGAATAAAATAGTCGTTAAATTGGATAAATGAACAAAAAACCGTACCAATCATCGGCGGCTCGAAGACTTCGAGTGGATTTGACCACGCAGAACGGAGAGCTCGCCGAAGAAAGAGAAGGAAAATTTTCACAAAATTTTCAGATTTAGGGTTTAACTTGACGAATGGAAAAAAAATGACAAAGGGATTGAAAGGGTAAAACTAGAAATTAAAAACGACATCGATCCACCGGACTGCTGCTTTAAAGCCTCTGACCTCCTAAGACGACCGGAAATTTATGGAAACGTGACGGAAATGCGTTTCTTTTGAAACGTGGCGCTTTCTGATTGGTTTATAAATGGCAAATGATGCGAACGGTTGTTTGTGATTGGACGTGGTATTTAGGCAAAACCAGTGAAAATAAAACAATAAATTTATTAAAAAAAATTCTTATACAACAGGACAGGTATGGGTACCGAAATGAAGCCACGTCTTTTGCTGATTTTTATCCACTCACGTTTCGCCACGTCGGTTTTCTTTTTTCCCCTCCGTATGACATGTCCTCCTGCTTTAAGTTTTTCAATTTTAGTCTTTTGACCTGCCAAATTAATTTTTTTCCAAATTTGTTACAAAATAATAATAATTTTATAAATATATATTTTCATAATTTATAAAGATTACGTTGATAGAGCTGTTTTTATGGAAAGAAATTAATCTAAATTAATAATTGACTAGAATTTCAAAAAACCTTACAAAAATATCTTTAAACTTTAAAAAAAAAAAATTAAAAACATTACCACTAATTTTAGATGAAAATCATTAATATTCTGTTTATAAAATATCTCTAAATTAACCATAAAAAGCTTCAAAAATACCTTTTTTAACATTTAAAAATACAAAAGTTTCTAAAATTTCACTAATACCTTTTAAATTAAAAAAAAATTAAAAATACTAATATAGTAAAGTAAAAAATGGAGATATTAAAAATACTAATAAATTTCATAGTACCTTTTGAACATACAATAACCATAGGTAAGGATATTTTTAAATTTTTGAAAAAAATTAATAGATAATTAATAAAACCTTTTAAAGTTCAAATTGTATTAACTATTTTTTCTCTAAAATTAAAAAAAATTAACAAAAATTAACAAAAATTTAAAAGAGTTATTTTTTTAGATAAAGTCCCAAATTTAGGAGTTTTTTTTTTTAATAGGGCTAAAAAAAACCTAAACAGGATGCATATGAAAAATATGAAAAGTATATTAAAGGAAGCACGACTTCCTTGCACAGCCAAAAGAGAATGCATACGAAACCCAAGTACTGGTTAAATCAGTCCTCAAAACCATAAACTAGCACGATAAAGGTAAAATTTCACATCGACTGAAGAGAAGAACGAAGTATTCCTTATAAGGGTGTGAAAACCTTTCCCTAACATATGTGTTTTGAAATTGTGATACGTAACAAACTAAAACGAACAATATCTGCTATAGTGAACTTGAGCTATTACAACAAACGTGTGCAAATATTTGCCTTTCGTGCAATCAATAAATGAGTCTAGTCTATTATAAGCTTCACCTGTAACAAAAAAGTTACCTTGACGACCCCATCTGCCCATTCAAATGGCAAGCCATGTTTAAAGAGTTCCATCCAATCGTTTGAACATGGGACATACACGTTGTTATCATTCTACCGTTTCTTTACGATGATATGCTATTGAGAATCGAATTCAATTTTCTTTCTCTCTCTCAAGCCAGAAGAAGAAAATGAAAGAAAAATGAACTCCCAGTAAAGCTGCTAAACTCGGTAAAGCGGCTGGATGATCAGCTCCTCTTCTTTACAGTCGAGCTGCTTCGTTCAGCTTGGTAAGGATCTCCTCCATCCCTTCCGCCTCCCAGATTCAAACCATATCGGAATGAATTTCTCTACCACATTCCAATTGATCTCCCATCCTTTGTCAAGCACAACAGTTAAGAACTTCTTGAGTTCATCCAAATCTTTCCTTTTACAGAACCCTTCAAGCATATTATCCAATATGATTGCGTTGGGCACAATGCCAGATAACATCATTTCATCAAAACATCTAACAGCAAAGTCAAAGCACTTTGATTTCACACTACCATGTATAAGAGCTTCATAGGTTCGAAGATCAGCAGAGAATTCAAACGCTCTGTTGGCTGAATACCATGCTTCCATGGAATTTACATCGTGTCGTTTGGCGAATGCCGAAATGAAATAGAAGAAAGTGTCAGCATTGGGTTTAGAACTTTCAGAATTTTTCATTATTTCAAACATGCTGAAGGCAGTTATCATGTTATGCGAAGATATACAAACCTCTATAAGTGAATTGAAAGCAGTCACCGTGGGTTGAACTCCTTGAAATTCCATAGCTGTGAAGACACGCATTGCAAGAGGGACATTCTGAAGCTCTCCGCAAAGACGTATTAGGTCGATGTAAAAGTCGGGATCCCTCTCGTTTTCTTTGCTCATTTTCTCCAATCTCCATTCCAAAGCCTGATAAAAGTCAAAAAAGGCTAATCACGAGATACTCATGATCCCTAAAACATAAACTTGCCAATCACTAAAGTCATTGAAAGAAAAGACGGCTGAAACATGAAACCTGTTTCTTCCGAAGATTACTTAATTGATCGGGATGAATCTAAGGGCATGTTTGGGAGTGAATTTGTGAAACCCCACATTGGTTGGAAATGGGAACAAAACATTCCTTATAAGGGTGTCGAAACCTCTCCCTAGTAGACGCGTTTTAAAACTCCAAGGGAAGGCTAGAAGGGAAAGTCCAAAGAGGGCAATATCTACTTGCGGTGGGCTTGGGTTGTTACAAATGATATTAGAGCCAAACATCGAGCGGTATGGCAACCCCCAAGGGGTGGATTATGAGATCTCATATCAATTGGAGAGAGCAACGAATCATTCTTTATAAGGGTGTGGAAACATCTCCCCAGTAGAGGCGTTGATGGATTGTGAGATCCCATATCGGTTCGAGAGAGGAACGAAGCATTCCTTATAAGGGTGTGGGAATCTCTCCCTAATAGACGCGTTTTAAAATCATGAGATTGACGGCTATACATAACGGGTCAAAGCAGACAATATCGGTTAGTGGTGGGTTTGGGCAGTTAAAAGATTTGAGATGGTTAAAGTTACTTTTGTTATGTTGAACATCATGCTAACACATGCTTTTAATCATTCAAAAGATCAAATTTCATATCAGCAAAATTGTGAAGGATTAAAAGCATGTTTTCAAAGTGATTTTGAAGATAGAGAAAGTAATTTGAATAATTTGAAAAGCACGCTCAAACATTTCCCAAGTCCCAATCAAGTTACATAATCCCTCCAAATCTTTTATTTGGCTTCAGCTCTTTGAATTTGCAAGCCTGAAAGCTTTCTTATATGGACTCCCTATCCAAATCGTTTGCTGCTTTTGTTTTACAAGATATTCAGGCCAGGGTTGTGCTTAATTGTTTATCAGTCCATAATTGGCTCCAAAATCAAATACTTCGTGGTTTCGCTGTTAAATCTTCTCGTTTTGAATTATAATTTGAAAGAACCCAACGAATCTTCTCTATCAAGCTCGTCCCACCAATTGATCCATTGTAATTCTCTTTATTTATTACTTTCATTTACTGTTTCGTATTCAAAGAAGAACAAAGATACATAATCCCTCCATTTCAGATACAACCTACAGACACACAGAATCCATAGCTTTTCTTTCCCTAGATCCATTCAACAACCAACTAAACAGACAACAATGGAGGAAAAAGAGAGGGCCAGAAGCGTTACCAGCTGAGCCTTCTTAGGCGACGAAGAAGATATAAGAGACGTAACAAGAGCTTTCCAGGAAAGCCACGAACTGCCGAGAAAAGCATTTTCCGGCGAATCAAGCACGGATTTCACAGACGAACTTGGCTCCTGAATCAACCTGAGAACCAGAGGATTCAAAATCGAATTCGACGGATCAGTAGAAACAAATCTCCGGCAAATACATCGATAATGAGGTTCCTGTAACCGTAGCGGAACCCTGGAGGAACCGCCTTTGGCCAATGCCAGAACCCTGTTTCGCGCTACCGCCATAGTTCACTCCGGAGTTCGCTATCCGGCGCCTATTTGCGCAATGCTCTAGGTTTCATACGTGGCGTGCATTTACGATTTTATTGCTTCTTTTTTTTTTAATCATTATAAAAAAAAATTGGGGAAATATCAAATTTTAATAAATCGGTAAAAAGTGTATCAAATTTCATCTTAATTTTTTTATTCCATCAAATTGCCTAGAAAATAATTAAATATAATATATTTATTTGTTTATTTATTTATTTATTTATATATCTGTTAACATTATCTGAAGTCCCAGAACCCGCCGTTTTTTCAATCTTGAGAAACCTCCACAGAGAGGCGAGCAAATGCTCACGAACTCAGAGATGGTTCTCTCCCAGTTCTCTAAAATCAACATTTCTCTCTTTACTATACCAATCCATCGCAATTTTAGCGCATTTCCGGCCAATAAACCAATTATTGCGGCAACAGCAGCCCCCATTTTCACATCGACTTCATTCCAGTTGCCCAAATCCACTGTAACTCCGGCCGAACCAATTCCGATCACCGATTTTTCGGAATATCCGGAAGAAATCCAGTTATCCATATCCCCTGATAAGCTATTTGTGCCGCCGGAAACAGATATTTCCGGCGGCGGTGGTACGGGGCCGAGAATCTTGAAAGGGTCGAACATTGTATTAGGTCGGTACGCGAGGGATGCGCAGGTTTCTGAGGCGGATTTTGTGAAGAGTAGTGTGACAACTGAGGATTGCCCTTCTGATGGGCTTCCTGAATTTGCGCTTGTTGGGCGCTCGAATGTGGGGAAATCTTCGCTGTTGAACTCGCTTGTTCGGCGGAAGAAGCTTGCTCTTACCTCCAAGAAACCAGGTGAGTGGTTTGTTCTGACCTAAGTTCATCTTGATTGTTTGGGTTCTGTTCATATGTTGTAGCTGTTGTGATGTGTTTGGTGTAGTTTCAAACTGTGTAAGAGATGAATATGGATCAAAGAATTAGAGGGCTGTTCAAGGAAATAGAAGATAATTGTCCAACATAGCTTAACAGAACAAATAGGGAGAGGTTTCCACCTTGTAAGAACCTTTGTTCCCCTTTCCAACCAATATGGGATTTCACAATTCATCCCTTTGGGGTCTAACGTCCTCATTGGCACACTACCTGGTGATTGACTCTGATACCATTTATACTAGCTCAAGCTTGTTAGATGAACACGACTCTCCACAATGGTATAATATTGTCCACTTAGAGCATAAGCTCTCATAGCTTTGCTTTGAGCTTCCCCAAAAGGCCTCGTACCAATAGAGATAGTATTCTTTGATTATAAATCCATGATCACTCCCTAACTTAGCCGATGTAAGACTTTCATCCAACAAAGCCCACCGCTAGCATATATTGTCTGCTTTGATCCATTACGTACCGCCGTCAACCGCACGGTTTTAAAACGCGTCTAATAGGGAGAAGTTTCCACACCCTTATAAAGAATGTTTTGTTCCCCTCTCCAACCAACGTGGGATCTCACCGTTTATCAATTATGTAAAAAGAAAACATAGAATGTAAAGTTTTGCTTCATTTTGTGAAAACTTCTAGCTTAGCAATTTGCGAACGTGTGAGAGAGAATGGGTAGAAAAAGGAATAAGCGAGTTAATTAGAGACCAGAGAGTTTATTTGCATCATAATTGTGAGGGAGACCTTGGTGCGGGCGACAAGAGGGGTACCAAATTGAGGCAAACTCGGAATATTAGATGTGATTTCAAAATAACAAGGGTTAAGGTCGTCTCAGTGAAAATATACTTTCTGCTTTCTCTGTATTGTCTCTTACTGTACGCACCTGAAGCCATTGATATAAACCTTTAGCCAACGTTCACCTTTGCATTTTCACTCTCCCATGCTTTATGTTCATCTAAATCGAGTGTGCGTGTTGTTGTGTGATCTTAAACCGTCACAGATATTACAAAAAACGGTGGGGGAGGGTAGGCACGTAACAATATTTTTGTGAACTTTAAACCTCGAATGTCCGAAATCTTTTGTACAGTTTAATCTCATTATCAGAATGTTGGATATGGATATAAACATTCTCCATGTCTTCTTGCAGGAAAGACACAGTGCATAAACCACTTTCGAATTAACGATAGTTGGTACTTGGTCGATTTGCCGGGATACGGGTATGTCTCAGCTTCAACGTGTTTCGATGTCGGTCAGAAAATCGTTTTTCGACTTTCAAACTTGCTTTTAAGTGATTTGAGTTCACTGTCCGACTTTGTTCCTTCTATGCGTTTAGGTATGCAGCTGCACCACAGGAACTCCGAACGGATTGGAACAAGTTTACGAGGAACTATTTTCTGAATCGGTCGACGTTGGTTTCGGTTTTCCTTCTTATAGATGCAAGCATTCCTGCCAAACAAATTGATCTTGACTATGCTAGTTGGTTGGGTCAGAATCAGGTAATTTAGTTTTTCCTTCAACTGATCTGATGCCTTGGTTTTTCAGAAAATTTGATATGGAATGGTTTCTGCAGATTCCAATGACGATAATATTTACAAAATGTGACAAACGAAAGAAGAAAAAGAACGGTGGAAAACGACCCGAAGAAAACGTGAGCGACTTTCACGAACTGATAAGTGGTTTTTTCCAAACGACTCCGCCGTGGATCATGACTAGCAGTGTCACCCATCAGGGTCGGGATGAAATACTTCTACATATCGCTCAGCTGAGGAACTACTGGCTCAAGCACTGAAAAAGCACCTTGCAGACTCGCCTTCACGAGTCAACCAGGTACAATATCTTATCAGTTATGCTCGTGTTGGCAATATATAAAGATCGTTATTTATCCAAGTACAGAAAATAGGTTCTCACGATTTCGAGCGTGAATCAACAATGACTGCAAATAAAAGTGCTCGATCTCGAGTCGGATTGATTGAAAATGAATCTTGAATTATATATTGAATAGCCTGCACTGTTTGACAGTGTCCATGAATTTTGGAGAGTTTACAAAGCAACAGCGCTGGCAAGAGTGTCCCAATGCTTACTTTAAACAGGCAATAGAATGGAAGATTGGTGGAAGTTGCTGTTATCTTGCGAGTGCTATTCGCTGTTGGAGCCACTGAATCCCATTTATTCATATCCTGGATAAGGATAACTTTGCCCCTGTGTCCAAACACTTGTAATATGATGTGTATAGCAAAGCTGTCTGAGATATTTTAACGGGTGAAATTGGGATTTTTTTTTTTTTTTTTTTGAATTTACGGTGTTGTCTTTTTATATGAATTAACTTAATGTAAAATTCAAAGATTAAGACTTAAATTTTTATTAAAACTGAATATTATCACTAAGCTCGGATTAGTTTGACAGGTGCATTTTAAATGATTACAACAGATAATCTGTAATTTCTTTTTATTCAAATGACTGTTCAACATTAAACGATAATAATTTAAACGTCACGTCATCATTTATGGATTAGATTTCAATAGCCTTATAATGACCAATTCGGGCCACACCAGCTTCTCGTTTGCGTCATTTTCTTCTCCACGTGGTGCACTCCCTCTCACGTGCCCCACTCTATACTAACGGTAGCGATATATTTTAAAAATTTTAAACAAATTTAAGGGTATTAATTAAATTTTTTTAAGATTAAGTATTTAAAATATAGATATATATATATATATATTATTAATTTAGGAGGGGAAACTAAAATTGGGTATCATTCCATGTGGGCGAGAACCACAAATGGTAAGGGCAGACATGGTAGAGAAAACAATACCCATGCTGCAGCCACCCCCAAAAGTTCAATAAATATGGGCAGCTGTTGTGTGTAACCACAATTAATTACATATTTGAAACAAATACAATTAATTGTTTTACTTTAAAATATTACCTCATTTAAATAATTTGTAATTTAATAAAGCCACATGAAAACTTTGGTCATGATTTTTAATATTCAAAAGATTGTAGACATAATTTATGACTATTTAAAAAATTCGAACGATTTATTATTATTATTTTTAAAAAACGGTATCTCGAGACAAACAAAACAAATACACAGGAGACAAGTCTCGTCTACATTACGTTTTTTTATCTTAATATCTATACTTTTATTTTATTTTAAATTTTAAAATTAGTCGAATAAATTTTAATATGGGATGACATTCCAAATTGGCCGGCAACCAGAAATAATTAGGGAAAGCTCCGTGGATCAATAAATATGGCAGTTGTTAGGTAAATAATTAATTAATTTTTAAACAAATCCAATTAATTGTTTTTTTTCCCTAAAAAAATCATATAGAATTCATGAAATAAAATAACAATAATTAAATGTTGAAGAAAATAAGCATGTATCACGTAAAAAATTTATAATATTACCATAGTGTGTGTATATATATATAAGCATTTATTTTTAAATGTTTATTATATGCTTAATATAAATAAAGGTATCATAGTACTAGAAAAATTCCTTTGTAAGGAGCCCTTGGATACTGAAACGTGGCAGAACGTGATTGGATGTTGGAGTGAGCCTTTCGTGGCATATAAATATTGGTCTGGGATCAGAAAACGTGGCACTAACTAGTTGGATTAAATTCTGTAGGGGCATACTCGTAATTTACTGAAAATATTCACGCTTAATTAATGAAGGTATGATGTACCCAGTAAGTTTGGGGGAAAGTAGTCACATTTTATTAATGGATGTAGGATGATGGATTAAATTATTAGTTCATTTAATTTCATTTTTATGGCTATGAATTTTTTAAATGTCAGTACAAATTTCGGAATATTTTCGTGACCTATTAAAGTTTAAAATTTGAACTAAATTATTTAATTAATTTTGAATGATTAAAATACAAATGGACTAAAAATACTAATACTAAATTTAAGATTTATTTAAACAAAAATTTAATAATTACAATAAATCAAAATTACTCTGACAATAAAAATGAGGGTTTATAAATTTGTGAGATTTTAATAATTTATTAAATGGGTCGGGTAAAACTATATTTCAATTTATTCATATAAATTAAAAATGTTCATTTAATTTGTAGGTGGAGTTGCTGTGAACGGGATGAGAAATCTCTGTTTAAAGGAAAATGAAAAATGAAGCAAAGAAATTTCACGTGATTTAGCTAAATGGGGTCGCAGACTAAAATTATATTCCTTGTTCTTACCCAAAATTTTGTGGTATTCATTATAGCTCTCCATCACCCTTGGGCCATGTAGCCTAAACGAGCTACCATGTGACACGTTGTGTGCTCCAATGAGTGCGAGCGCACCGAGACGAGTGTCTCAGACGACTTTCTTTTAAATTAATATTTCAAAACAGTACCAGCTGACACAGGTGTGTTGATATTGCACTCCAACTTCCTCTATTCGATACGGTATCTGTAAATAACATGACATAGGCATTAGAAGGCCAATACCTAAATAGAACTCGATAGATAAATGTTCCGGATTTCTGGATGAAATGAGCCATATGTGGGCCCGTTACACACACATATATATATATATATATTAATCCACCTGTCCCATACGACATAATGGGCCATTTAAGTTGGTGAGGCGGAGGCAGTTGGAAGTTACTATTTTGACAAAAGTTGCCTACCCTTCTGATGCCATCCTCTTCTTCTTCCATCCTTATAAATCTTCCCACTCATTTCCACTTCTTTTAGCACAGTTTTTTAATTTTATTCTCTTTAATTGCTTCGAGCCTTCGTGGTTTGTTTCAATGGAGTCTCGCTTTTCACTTGTCTTTGCTTTACTTTTTGTAAGTCATGAACATTTCAAAATTACCAAATTTTAAAATATTATTTTCATTCATTCGCGATTCTTAAAGACCGACTTTCTTTTTATTGCAGCTTGCAGTTGCCATTGGTCATGCCAATCACTCGCCCGAACAGTATTGGAGTTCTGTATTACCGAACACTCCGATGCCAAAAGCCATTAAAGATCTCCTCAATTATGGTCAGTATACAATTATAAACTGTGATATTTTACGACGGTTGGGGAGGAGAATGAAACACCCTTTTATAAGGGCGTGGAAACCTCTCTATAGCAGACGTGTTTTAAAGCCTTAAGGGGAAAGACCTTACGGGAAAGTCCAAAGAGGACAATATTTGCTAGCGGAGGGTCTAGGCTATTACAAATAGTATTAGAGCCAAACACCAGGCGATGTGTCAACGAGAAGGCTGTTCACCGAAAGAGGTAGATACGAGGCGATGTGCCAGTAAGGACATTGGACCTTGAAAGGGGTGGATTGTGATATCCCATGTTGGTTGGAGAGGAGAATAAAACACCCTTTATAAGGGTGTGGAAACCTCTATCTAGCAAACGCGTTTTAAAACCCTGAGGGAAATCTCGTAAGAGATAGCTCAAAGGACAACATCTGTTAGCGGTAGGGCTAGATGAACATACTCCAAACTCATTTTAAAATTTTATTTTCATATCATTAAAATTTATTTTAAATTAAAAACAATAGACCAATATATATATATAACCAAAAATATATTTTGTAGACCTTCTAGAAGGCAAAAGTACTTCGGTGATTGTCGGCAAAGGGGGCGTAAACGTCAACACCGGGAAGGGGAAGGCCGGAGGCACCTCCGTTAACGTCGGCAAAGGTGGGGTTAACGTCCAAGCTCCAAAAGGGAAGACCGGAGGCACTTCCGTTAACGTTGGCAAAGGAGGGGTTAACGTCCACGCTCCAAAAGCGAAGCCCGGAGGAGGCACCTCCGTTAACGTCGGGAAAGGAGGCGTCAACGTCCACACCGGTCACAAAGGGAAGCCAGTTTACGTCGGAGTTAAGCCAGGCTCTAATCCCTTCAATTACATCTACGCAGCCACAGAAACCCAACTTCACGACGACCCAAATACCGCCCTATTCTTTCTGGAAAACCAACTCCGGCCCGGTTCAAAGCTGACCCTTCATTTCCCCAAACCAACTTCCCCGGCCACGTCCACTTTCTTGCCACGTGAAGTAGCCAAAACCGTTCCCTTCTCATCCCAAAAACTCCCCCAAATCCTCGACCGGTTCTCAGTTAAACCCACGAGTTTTTCGGCCCAGCTGATCCGGAACGCCGTCGAGGAATGCGAGGCGCCTGGCATCGCCGGCGAGGATAAGTACTGCGCCACGTCGTTGGAGTCGATGGTGGATTTCAGCACCTCTAAGTTGGGGAAGGAGGTGGCGTTGGTCTCGACGGAAGTAGAGAAAGAGACGGGTTTGCAGCAGTTTACGGTGGCGAATTTGGCGAAGAAATCGCCTCCGGCGACGACGACGGCGGTTGTGTGCCACAAGTTGAGCTATCCGTACGCAGTGTTTTATTGCCACTCCACGCAACACACGCGAGTTTACAAGGTTGGTCTGGTCGGTGCTGACGGGACCAAAGCTGACGCGGTGGCCGTGTGTCATACCGACACGTCAGCTTGGAACCCAAAGCATTTGGCTTTTCAAGTGTTGAAGATCAAGCCAGGGACCGTTCCAGTCTGCCACTTCCTTCCACAAGACCACCTTGTATGGGTTTCAAAATAGATAGAAAAAAGAAAAATAATAATAAAAAAACTTACTGTGCTTCTGGTTGGTCCACGTGGCACGTAGGTTACAAATAAACCTAAATTACTTTTCTTGTAATATTATTACTACTATGCCACTCATATATTACACTTTGTTTTTCTTTTTTGGTAGGGACTTTTGTGTAATTTGCGATGTTAGTTATCTGGTTAAGAAATTAGTTACTGTGGTAAAACTCATATGGTAATTTTATAAAGTTACGATGGTTGTGCATCAGCAATGGATCGTCTTCTCTTATCCTTATTTTATATTTTTTTTCGAGTTTATATAATTATTATCACCAAAGTAATTTTTATTAACTTAATTATTACATATATTTTTTTTAGCGAGAGAATTTGAAAAGATATTGGTAATGTTAAGTTCGAGGTTGAACGTAAAAATCACGTAAATGATATGCCTACGAGTAAAAGGTATTAAGAAATATATGGTTAAAATATATGACAAAGTTTATCTTTCTTATTAAAAAAAAATGACAAAAGGTAAAATTTTAATACTAAATTGAATTTACTAAAATGACTAAAGTAAAATTGGGAAATAATTCAAAATAGACGGTAAAATTAGGAAAACGATTTAATGTAATAAAGTAAAACTGTAAATAATATATTTTTACCTTAGCGATTATACACTCCAATTTTCCTGCAGGCCCAAGTTGTTCGTAGGAAGTCCACTAGCCCTAATTTTCAGTTCCATCAAATTGGAGGAGTTTTTCAGACCAATACCACACGCGCCTCACGCGCCCGCTCAAACGCAGGTTGGCGGTGCCTTACCGCGCGTTTGCGATTAGGGTTCTACTGGCTGAGTGAGTTTACGTCCACTGTTAATTTCCCTCCAGATTTCGGTATCTGTGGTTCGCGCCTCTTCCATTGTTATATCATCAGAGATCTTCAGCACTTTCTTTCACCTTTCATGGTCGCTTTCAGGTATCAAAACGATTCTGTTTGTGAATTTGTAAAAATGTTCATACATTATCGTTCTGCCATTCTTGATTGGTCTTGATCAATGTCGCGCGGGTTTCTGTATTTTATGTGCTGAAAGAAACACTCGGTCGGTGGATTTTGGAGTTCTGAATTTCTCCATTCGAGGAATTGAAGTTTTGAAATATCGATTTTACCTTCGCTTGCACATCGGATTTCTGTTTACTCAAGTGAAATTAGTTTCTCTTGATTTCAGGGTATGCTTCAAACAAAATTGAAGTTGAAGTAGTTTTTTTTTTTTTTTTTTTTTTTTTTTTTTTTTTTTTTTTTTTTTTTTTTTT